TACTAGAACCTGCCATGTGTTCAACATGTTTAGATGACGAGGTCCTCACATCTGCATTCACACAATAACAAGTACGGTTAAGTTAAACTCCAACACATAGAGACTTTTAAACCAGTCAGAACTTCCTGTATCAAGAAGGTGTGTTTCTGAGTTGTCTTGGTAACATCTCTCAAACTTGTCAGCCTCTGATTGGCTGTGCAAGTCATAACATCAAAACCTTAAAACTGGATCAGCCTGAGTGATTCGACAGTTCTAGAGAATCGCTTCAGGCCGGCCACCTGTAGTAAACCTCTTTAACATCAAAGATTTTGACTCGTCGTCAAAACCTTTTTGCACCTGCAAACAGTTCCTGCAGAAACAAATCTTATATTGTTAGACTCCATAAGAGTCCGCCAGACGCACGGTTCCATCCAGCTGTTGTGACCCGAGACATCTCTGGACTGAAGAGTCGGTACCACGGTATTCTACAGCCCTCCGCTGCCAGAGGTCAGCTGACCCCCTCCCGAATTTCGGATCCACCAAGAGGGTCTCTCCAAAACGGGTGAAATAGACATGACAGATTGCGTCTGATGTTCTTCTGATGATAACAGCTTTATAACTTAGAGCAAACCAAATTATTTTCACCAGAACTCAGCTTACTTTGAAAAGGAAGCTCTGACTGACATCGCACTCACACATAGGTGCCTTCATCACATTTAGTTACATCCACTCACAGTAAACGCTTAGTTAATTAGTCACGTTTTAATTGTTTGCAAAATAAATTCTTACTTTTATAATCCTGACTCTTTCTTGAAGTAACATGAAGTGTGGTTAATCACTGAAAAAGCAAAGAACCTAGAATCTTCTGAATAATTACAATAAAGACCTCGCAGGCTAATATTTTATATTAATATAGAATATTACATCTTCCTGGTCAAAACAAATACAAATCATTGATTTGCCTACGCTACATCTACAAACTTTAAAACAAAATGAATGTGATTGTCATTTTCAATTGAAGGAAGTTGGAGATGATTAAATTTATCTGACTCTGGACCAATCACATGCTGTACTGTGATCCCCACAGCCCCTCTGAGGCTGCAGCATCTGCTCTTTTAATAACCGTTCCAGCCTGCTCAGAGACCACGCAGCCAAGCAGTGGTTGACTTTTCTTCTACAGTCAACAAAAGCTGACATGAGAGACGGTCTCCTCCTGAATACCGGTATCCTTCCTGTTCCACCGTGGCTCCATACGATGTTTTCAGCATTCATTTAGAACTTTATTGGACTGGGAAAGAGGGCCGAGTTTTCTCTTCACAAGGATTTCACTAGATAAGCCGGCCTCACTTTGGACTGAATGAAGAAAGGGATTTCTCACTCATGAACATTGTTGCTAGAAACTGCAGTTCCATAACACACACACACACACACACACACACACACACACACACACACACACACACACACACACACACACACACACACACACACACACACACGTATGTTCCAATAGCTATTTTTAGGCGCAATCCTGTGCCAAACCACTTGGGGGCGACGTGGGGACGTACCTGAGTATGCACTCCCAGCAGCAGGATGCCCGGGTACCGGCAGGGCGCTAGACGTTAGTGGTGGTGGTGGTGGCAATGTAGCTGGAGCGGCAAACATAGTGGGGTGGTGGGAATGTGGCAAGGGCTGCAATGCAGGTGGGAAGCTGGAGGCTGCTGCTGCCACTGGAGGAGCAGGCAGGTGGTGGGGGAGGTGCAGGGAGGGAGCAGGCCCGTGGAGCTTGGTGCCTGGGGCGCTACTACTGCTGTTGCTGTAATGACAGAAGAACAGGGAAATGGAGCCAGGTTAGTTCATTTAACACTTGTTCCTGTGCATCCTCTCGACTCCATCTGCTGCAGCATCCAAATCCCAGCTCAGTGTTTTCACACCTCAACTATCTTCCATGTCCAAATGCCTCCCTGCCTCAGCTTGTTTCCCAGAATCCGGTCAAACACGATCTTTGGAAACAGCACATTCCCAACACCCTTGGACATGAATAAACCACCGCTGGCAAACGCAACTAAACGAGCATCTGTCTTTGAACAGCTTCTGCTCAGCCAATTCCTTCAAGGCCAGGTAGGAAATGAGTACATCTGAAATAGGATGAGAGGCGTGGAGGGTGTGTGTGAGTGTGTGTGTGTATGTGTTAGCAAACAGGCTTTTGTAGTGTGTTTGGGTTTTCCCTGTAGACCTCTCCACAGCTTCATGTTTTAAGCCTAAAAGCTCATTAGCAGCACTCGCTCATTGCTGTAGGCCCTGGCTGCCATCCCTCACAGCGGGTGCCAGGCCAACGCGGCGCTGGCACAAGGCGAGGCGGGTAGATCCAAGTCCCAGGAGCCTGTGAGGCAAGGCTGTTGATGGGGCTGAGTGTGCTTCTTCATGTCCTACGTTATCAGACGCTTTATTGAACACAATGGACCAACATGGGCATGGCAACTTCATAAAAGAAGAAGGTGGTTGTCTCTTTGAACACATAAAGTGGAATAAATAAAAACACAGTAGTTTTTAATGCTTACTGGGATTAACACACAGACCAAAGGCTGGTTTCTCATTCTCAGATAAATTCCCCTCCAGAAAGTAAAAAGATTCCTGTGAAACATGTTTGACTGCTTTTTCTACACCTGTTGGTATATTTCATACTTGCTCTGATATTTCATTTTAATTCTGAGCTGTGCACAAGATGAGGATTGAGATTAGATTAAGATAACTGTTATCAGTAACGTTTTTGCAGGCAGTAGGCTGACCACTACCTCTACCTATCAGCATAGACAACAGATAAACCCTTGTCAGCCTATGTCAGAGGTGGGTTCTGACAGAAGTGTGTGCTGGTGATTGATGCTAATCACCGAGAACTCCCCCTGACAGCAGAAGCGTGTTAGCCTAGCGAACTAGACCAAATTCTTACTTTGAAAAGTTTGGTCTAAGAACGCTCCACTGGAACCTCCGCAGCCCCAGCAGCATTCTGGCTGGCCAATCATAGTGCTCTATCTGCTTTTTGGACCAATCACAGTGCTTTATCAGCTTTGTGGGCCAATCAGGGCCCTGTATTAGTCTGGTGGGAAGAAATGATGCAACAGAACAGAACGGCGGCAGCTCATTTGAAACGGCTTTTACATCAATTTTGGACTATCTGGACTTGGGCTTCATTAGAATCAGGGGCAGAAACAGGTTTAAAAAATTTTTTTTTGAAAAAAATAAAGGATGTACTTTTGCATTTTTCAACAGCGGACCACCTCATTTACCAACATCCGTTGCGGTGAGTACGTCACATTGTTCATTGTCCACTAGCATGCGGAGATCGTTTGAAAGACAATGGTAGAACCCGCCCCACGACCAAGAGCCGTCAATGGAGCATTGCCAGGCTAGAAGCATGTCACATGATAGCCCTCTTTAAAGTCAGTATGGAGGTTACCTGTGGCAGTTGTAGGTAGAGAGGAGCTGGGACTGGCTGTGTGATGTGGGCCGGTGAGCCCCCACCTGATGAGGGTGGATGTTTGATGGTAGGGCCAGAGAGGGTGGGTGGAGGTTTTGTGTGGTCTGAGGTCTGGTGTGAACAGGCTTAGGATGAGGATGCGCTGAGGGCTCCTGGCCCTGGGTGGGAGGCAGGACTGTAGGTGTGTGAGGTGGGGGGAGAGCCTCTGAGGGAGGGAGCAGGCGGGTTAAAACCAGAGTCTGGGTTGGACTGTTTGCTTGGAGAGGAGACGGGGCCCAGGAATGTGGTACATGCAGGGTGTGAGGGGGTACTGGGGGATATGGGGTGCTGGATTCAGGGGGCTGAGGGTCTCTGCAGCTCTCCTGGCTCCTTTTCTGACTCCACTCTAGGCCTGATACCTTGACGAGGCCTGGGCCCGGAGGCTCCTCTATGCCATTGGTGGAGAGCACATTGAAGTTGAAATCTGGAAGTGCACCAGAAAAACAAAACAGAATAACTAAAAAACGCTAAAAACATCAAACTGTGTGATTAATTAACCCCCTTTCACAGATTAACTAAAGCATCTGATGGCAGCACATGATGCACACACAAGCTAGCCTGACAGGTCCGGACTGATGATGGAGAGAATCCACACGTTAAAAATTACGAGGCCCTTAACAAAAACAAAAAAATTAACATATAAAAAAAGTTTTTGAAAAAATTAAAAGACTAAAAAAAGGAGAGGGAGGTGAAGGTCACACCAAAACCTGAACAGGTGAGTTTAAAGGAGACCAGTGAGTCCACTGATCTCAGGCTCAGGGGGAGAGAGGTCCAGAGTCTGGGGGTCACAGTTGCAGATAATCTGTCACCTTTGGTCTTTAGCCTGGTGCTGCACAACCAGTAGGCATTGATCACTGGACCTCAGGGACCTGCTGGTGGTGTAGGGACTGAGAAGATCACCAATGTAATATGGTGCTTGTCCATGTAAGGCCCTATAGACCAGAACCAGGATCTTGAAATAAACCCTGAAGTTTACTGGCAACCAGTGAAGCTGAAGGAGAAGTGGGGTAATTTGGGTGTGTTTGCCGAGCACAGGCATTCTGAACCACCTGTAGACGGTTCAGGGAGGTTCTGCTCAGACACGTGAAAAGAGAGTTACAGTAGTAGTATGCGTGAGGAGATGAAGGTGTGGAGAACAGTCTCAAGTTCAGAGTGGAACAGAATTGGACTCAGCTTAGCAATGTTCCTGAGATGGATAAAGGAAGAGCGAACAAGAGAACTGACATGAGAATCCAGGGTGAGACCTGGGACAAAGGTCACACCAAGATTCCTGACAGAGGGTTTGGTGCTTGAGAAGCAAGCTGACCAAGAGAGTCTCTGATTTTGGGAACCAGCTTGTCTGGGGCACAGATGAGGATCTCAGTCTTATCTTCATTCAGCTGTAGAAAGCTCCCAGCCATCCAGGTTTTGATAGAGTCTAAGCAGGTGTGTAACAGCTGCAGCTCAGACATCTCATGGGGCTTAAAGGAGATGTACAGTTAGATGTCATCGCATAGTTGGTAGGAGATTCCTTTGAAGGAGCTCAGGATGTGCTGAAGAGGAAGCAGATAGAGTAGGAACAGTAGATGCCCCCAGCACAGAACCTTGTGGGACACCATGGGTGGAGGAGGTGGTGGAGGACCTAATCTTGGAGACGGCCACAGAGAAGGAACGCTCAGACAGATTAAATCAAATCAACTTTATTTTTATAGAAGTTTTCATACAAAAAAATGCAACTCAAATTGCTTCACAGATTAAAATGGCCCCATAGATCCCATTTTACCATCACAACCCCCCTCCCCAAGTATAAAACAATTGACAATTACACTTCCCCTAGTTGAATCTCAGATTGAGGAGGAGCAATGTGGTTTTCGTCCTGGCCGTGGAACTGTGGACCAGCTCTATACCCTTGCAAGGGTGATGGAGGGGGCATGAGAGTTTGCCCAAACAATCCACATGTGTTTTGTGGATTTGGAGAAGGCTTATGACCGTGTCCCCAGGGGCACCCTGTGGGGGACGCTCCAGGAGTATGGGGTGGGTGGCTTTCTGTTAAGGGCCATTCAGTCCCTTTACCAGAGGAGCGTGAGTTTGGTCCGCATAGCCGGTAGTAAGTCAGACCTGTTCCCAGTGAGGGTTGGACTCCACCAGGGCTGCCCTTTGTCACCGATTCTGTTCATTACCTTTATGGACAGAATTTCTAGGCGCAGCCGTGGTTTGGAGGGTGTCGAGTTTGGTGGCAGGAGAATCTCGTCTGCTTTTTGCGGATGATGTGGTCCTCCTAGCTTCATCCAGCTCTGACCTTTTGCTCTTGCTGGGTAGGTTTGGGGCCGAGTGTGAAGCGGCTGGGATGAGGATTAACACCTCCAAATCTGAGACCATGGTTCTCGACCGGAAAAGGGTGGCTTGCCAACTCCGGGTCGGGGGAGAGGCCCTACCTCAAGTGGAGGAGTTTAAGTATCTCGGGGTCTTGTTCACGAGTGAGGGTAGGAGGGATCAGGAGATCGACAGGTGGATTGGTTCAGCATCTGCTGTGATGCGGATGCTGAGCCGATCTGTTGTGGTGAAGAGGGAGCTGAGCCAGAAAGCCAGGCTCTCGATTTACCAGTCGATCTACGTCCCAATCCTCACCTATGGTCATGAGCTTTGGGTAATGACCAAAAGAGCGAGATTGCGGATACAAGTGGCCAAAATGAGTTTCCTCCTCTCTCAGCCTTAGAGATAGGGTGAGGAGCTGGGACATTCGGGAGGGACTCAGAGTAGAGCCGCTGCTCCTCCAGATCGAAAGGAGCCAGTTGAGGTGGTTTGGGCATCTGGTCAGGATGCCTCCTGGACGCCTCCCCGGGGAGTTGTTTCGGGCATGTCCTGCCGGCAGGAGGTCCCCGGGTCGACCCAGGACACGCTGGAGAGGTTACATCTCCAATCTGGTCCGGGAACGCCCTGGGGTCCTGCCGGAGGAGCTGGTGGAGAAGGCCAGGGAGAGGACGGTTTGGAGCTCCCCAGTTGGGATGCTGCCCCCGTGACCTGGACCTGGATAAGCGGAGGAAGATGACGACAGTAGCGATGGGTACCGAATTCGGTACTTTCTAAGGTACCGACCGAATTCCATAGTACAGACTGAGCACCGATTCACGTCTTTTGAAACGGTGCCTCATTTCGGTACCCGTCCTTCCTAACGAGAACTTGCCTAGACAGCTGCGCAGGCGCAAGAGCGTTATGTCGTCGGTCACTGCGAGCCAGTTGTAAACAGAGCAGCATGGCAGAAAGAACGCACGCTAAAGCTTGGGTCCACTTCACTAAATGTGATGGGTAACTGGGTGATG